AGTTTCTGTGTCTCTCTGAGGAGCCTCAGGGACTCTTGACTGCTCCTGCTCTGTTTCTGTCCCGTGCTGGCCGAGGCTTTGACAGGGGACGGTGGCAGTGGTTGTACCCCACTCTGTGCCCTGGTTTTGCGCTCTACACTGGCGGCCCTATGATGCTTCTGCTGCTTTAGCCTGGGGCTACGAGATGACTGGGAGAGTTTCTGAACCTACAGGAGCAAAAACAGCTTGATATACATCGGTGTTTTCTGTAGGATGTTTTTATTTAAATACTATTACAAACTAAAAAAAACCTGTTGAAACTGTAATGTGTAACTTCAGCTGTAACAAAGTACGAACGTACTGTTTGCTGATGCTTGCGCAGTTTGGAGATTTGAGCTGCTTTCTCCTCCATTCTCTTGACCAGACAGTCCAGCTCTCGCTCCAGATCGTCATGAAGCTCTTGTTTAGAGGTCTCGTCTATCTGCTTGACCAGCTCCTGGTGTTCACTGTCACACACACACACACACACACAATGTTTACATTGTATCCTACTGTCCCTGTCAATGCATTACAAAAACTAGTCTTGATGGTTAAGATAGTGTAACTCACAAGCTCATCTGTCCCAGTTCATCCTGAAGGGCGAGCAGAAGATCAGAAAGGCTGCCCAGTGTGGAAGCTGCTTTGCTGGGGGAGGACGGAGGTCTGCGCTGGTTCTCAGAAACAGACTTCTGCAGTGCGCTGACTCTCTCACACAGCTGTGGGTTTCTGTGCTTCATCAGGTGCAAAACACTCTGAACATTGGCATTGACTGAGTGACTGGGACTGGTCGCCTGAGAGAGAGAGAAAACTGCTCAAGATAACATTTATTATTATCATAAATACTGAACACAGTTGCTGCTTAATATTTTTGTGGAAATTGTGTTTCTTTTTTCAGGATTCTTTGATGAATATAATCAATAGAATATAAATAAATAAATATTTGAAAAAAAAAGAAATATTTTGTAACACCATAAATGTCTTTACTGTCACTTTTGTGTAATAATAACCATGTATAAATGTAAATAATAATCAAGTTATGTGTAGGGGTGAGGTCATACTGACTGTTCCAGCCACAAATGGGAGGCGTTTAGCCTTTGGAGTGGGAGGCACCTCCACCTTCACTGAGGAGGGCTTCTGACATAATATGAAAGAAGAAAATATTAACACAACTCAATGCAGAATACATCTGTAGTATTCTGATGTGTAAATATACTGCCACCTTGTGCTCACTATACATTACTGCAGAGCATTTTTTTTTACCTTGCAAGAGGCCTTTTCTTTCTTCTTTTTCTTGCCTTTAGGTTGAGGCACAGCAGAAAGGGAGAGGAGATTGTTTTCAAGCTCTCGCTGCAACTGATGCCAAGAAAAGCAAAGAGACGGCATGAATGCATGAATTTAAAAAAATGGCTTTTTAATAAAAGCTATTTTTTCTATGGGGAAAGTTGACATGATTTATAAACAGTGTTGGGGTAATGCATTACAAGTAACGCGAGTTACGTAATCAGATTACTTTTTTCAAGTAACTAGTAAAGTAACGCATTACTTTTTAATTTACAAGAGAATATCTGAGTTACTTTTTCAAATAAGGCAAGTTACTTTTTTTTTCAATTTATTGATTGACAGCTCTCCTGTCCCCATGTTGAGAGAAATCAGATGTTACTGTAGTTCTATAATAAATATGAATATGCATTAATTCATCTCACTCACACACACACACACAAAAAAACACAGATTCAGTATTCCTCAAAATGAATAAAAAATAATGCAACTCAGAATATGACGTAAACCTGCAATAATTAAATGTTAAACAACACAAATATCCTATGTATTTAATCACATTCTATTAACCAATGTCTTTGCTTCTGACCTTCGATGATCCAGTTCAACCATACTAATAAGCCAAAATTACTCTAGACAGACATTTGTGTGTCTTTTTATACTGCTGAAGTGTGTTGAAATTTCTTCTTCTGCATTCTACTGTACAGACGTAAATTTACTTTCCCTTCAGCCTGAGGCTTATTCATTTCACTTTTGGTGTGAAAAGGCTTTTATATTTGCCAAAAATAAAAATTTTTAATTTTAAAAACAGACAAGCAAGTCCTGTCCAGATTTAAAAAGTAACGCAAAAGTAACGTAACGCATTACTTTCCATAAAAAGTAACTAAGTAACATAATTAGTTACTTTTTTATGGAGTAACGCAATATTGTAATGCATTACTTTTAAAAGTAACTTTCCCCAACACTGTTTATAAATCTATTTTTTGAGAATATGTTTGCAATTTTGCCTCTTTTTTTGTTTTACCTCCTCTGCTTTCTCCTGCACAATTTTGCGTTCATGTTGCTCCTCTAAAAGTTTCTGTTCTAAGAGCTCAATCTTCCTCTGTAGATGAAAGACACCACAACAGATTGAAAAAAGAAAACTGTGTCCATGTGGATTTTTTTTCCTCCCAAATTACCTGAGTGCATGTAGCCCAGGTGGTTAGCCAATGTGCCTCAATATGTTTGTACCTCAGCTATAGACTGTGTACTGGTGAGTTTTAGATACTCCTCTTCCAGTCTTTCCAATTTGTTGAGCTGTGTCTGCATTTGTGGGTCTGTATGTGTGCTTTCCCTACACACGGAGTCCTAAAAACCAATCAGAACAGAGAAAAGGAGAAACAGAGAGAGATTAAGAGAGGCTTTGAAAGCTCAAAAGCTCTTGAGTTTGTACACAAGCTGTATCTTTCATATGAGACTTTACTAAATGTTTAAGCTCTTGGAATATAGTGCACAACCTCTTTTGCTTTTGTCTGTTTGCTCACCTGTCTGTCTTTGTGAGTGATTCTCTCTCTCTTTGCACACTCCACCATTTTCCTCATGTAGTCGAGCTGTTTTTCCAGCAGAGAGCAGCGGGTTTCCATGGAATGAAGCTTGGAAACCAGCTCTGAAAGGAAGAAGAGAAACAGAGACAACTTTGTACACACTAATTTAATACAGCATTGGACTTTCCAATTATTATTCAAACGGACCAAAACCTGTTGTGGAACACTTTTACCTTTCCTCTGTGTACAGTGATTCTCTTGTGTGTTGTGATCTGGTTCTCTCTGTGCAGAAGCATCCGCCTGATGTCGAACAGTCTTAGAGAAATGCTGGACGTTCCTCTCTGCCTGAACTCTCTCCAGCTCCAAGCGTCGCATCTTCTCCTGCAGTGTTTTCAGGGCTGCTATCACTGCTGTTCAAGCACAGGAAACATTTACATTTGGTTTTATATATTTGGTTACATAATATGGTCCTCGGCATCTAATAACTCAATTCACCTCTGCTTCCAGCATCAGGTACTGTTTGATAAAGCTGTGGGCTGATGTCCTGCACACCTGAGCTCTTTCTTTCCTGTGGATGTGTGGCTGTGTTAATGTACAGCGGTCTTGACAGCTTCTCTGGAGGTTGGTAAAAACTGCCAACATAACTCTGTTTAGATGGAGAGTCCAGATTTAGACTCTGTAATTCAGAAATCAAAAATTAACAGATTATTCATTTTTATGGCGAAAACCAACACTTTGGATGAGCGAACGATAATAATACAGTTATATATACCGAGTCATCGTCTTTAGAGAGAAAAAATGGCTGTTAAATAATACAATGCAGTCAGAAAACAGCAAAACTCACTAACGAAAAAGCAAGGTAGCCACATTGTTGTATAAAAAGATATAAAGTCAAGATACATTTCCTGGATAATTAATTAAATGGCTGTGTGTCGAAACCTAGACAGCTACTTTCTAGGCTAAATAAACGTTTTACGAACCCAAAACTTGTTCTCTAGGCTGCTAACGTTACGTACAAAATGTGAATTAGCTAATAAGGCTAACTTGACTGACTGTGATACAGCAATGTAAACATCGCTAAGAATAATAACAACCGCAATAAAGATATTTAGCATAAAGCATCTATACCTGATCTCTGAAGTGATCCATTATGAATTAGTCTCTTCGATACACATGAAAGACTAAATGATGCAGCCTATTCATCGGGTGAATTAGCTGAAAGTGTCCTCCTGTTAACAGCTGTAGCCGACAGCGCCGCCCAGTTTCAAATTTCCCTCTTCTTTTACCGCCCTCAGTGGTTCCGCATGCACACAATGACCACAGCTTCTTCAATATATGTTCAAATAAGATAGATAGATAGATAGTACATAGTCAAGCAGACTTGACTTGACTTGATATGAGCACTATTTGTAAGCAGCCCAGCTGCAACTGCTTTGGCAATATAAATGTATAGTTTTTGTCATGCCAATAAAGCACACTTAAATTGAAATGATAGATAGATAGATAGATAGATAGATAGATAGATGACATACTTTCAGCAATAAAGTGAGTTGACAATGCTGGAATTCTACTGCCCCAGGCACAACCTCAAGATCTAGGTTATTAAATAAAAAAATAATAAAACCACAAATTTAAACTTATCTTTCCAGTTATTTCTGAATTAGTCATGTTGACAACAAACATATTCTACTTGTCATCCAGTTCTATTTTTATTGAGGATGCCTTCATATAATAATACAGAGGAACTTTGAAACAGAAGAGGGCCATTGCTCATATTTGTAAAACAGTAAGAGGTGGCATAGTCAAAGCTATTCTGTTTTAGAGATTAGCTCACATATTTCCTTTGAATAATATAGCTGAATATCTGGTGAAAGCTTTGCATTAATCATTAGGGTTTTGAGATAAACAAGTGGTGGCGGGGCCCCTGCAGTTACCAATGTTTTTTGTGGCTATTGGTATTTGTAGTTCTGCGTAGTATTTGTGCCGCCAAGAGAACGTTGATATTAACGAGCGTCTGAACTACAATTCCCTTTTTATTTGCATTGGGAGGCGCGGCCTGACAGGAACGCCTTTCTAATCGTTGATTGGTGCGCCGTGAGCATATCTCCGCCCATCAGCTTTTTTTGTATAACACTATTGGACTGTGGGAACTGTCAATCAATTGTTAACTCAAGCCGCTGTGCATGTGTGCAAACGACTGAAATTGACTGAAGAGCCAGAGCGCAGGAAGGTTTCATTCAACGGCAGTGGGGACGACTAGAGAGAATGTGAATTTAGTAAGTATTTTTTTCTGACATATTTTGCACATTTCTTTTTAAAATAGAACGCGCTTAATAATTACTGACCATACCTGTGACTTTATTAATTGTGTAACCTTTGGGGCATATGCTTGTTGGCTAATAACAGAACTTGAGAACGTCATTCAACGGTTTTTTAGCATGTGCCTACTGTATAATATCATACTCCGTTTCTTTGGTAAAATAACCAGTTTTATAGCAAAAGCTATGGAGAATTATTTCCCTTGACATTTGAAAATGTGTCAGTTCGACTGTTTAAACAACGGAAAACAAAAACCCTAACAACTTTTGTTTGTTATAGCATTCAGAACATTATAAATACACATCATTCGTATAATGCCTGCTAAGACATGCACTTGCAAGTCTGTTTATACTAGCAGGATAATATGGAACATTTTTGGAGGGATTTGCAGAATTCCTTTGCCAGCTTGAAGCAGAGATGATTGGTTTAGGATTATTTTAGCTATATTAATAATTGGCACACATTTTTGTCTTATGCATGGCTCAGTCATTCAGGTGTATAACTGAAGAATAGTAGACTGTTACAGTGATGGATGTGAGCGATGCTGCGGGAAGGTGGGATGCCCTGGGCAGTCGAGACTCGAGCTCCAGACACGCAGCGATGGAGCTCATTCACCAGGAGGTGATGAAGAGAATAGAGACCATGGGGCCGATACCGGACCCGCAGTCCTCCTCTCCCCCAGCCATGGATGACAGTCTGTCCAGTGATCTCAACGCTCTCCTGACTCATGTCCTCATGCTCTCCAAACGGTGTCCTTATGAAGACATCAGGAAGAAATGCATGTGTTTGCTTCAGAAGGTTCAGGTCGGTACTTTAATAATGATTGAGTTAATAGTAAAGATGTTGATTGTATGTTCAACAATTTCTGTACATGATCTATGTGTCTTTAAAAAAAAAAGAAAAAAAAAAGAAAACACCCTTGCATATAATATGTTGGTGTATCATTGTACTACATTTATGCAGACCAAGCCCCATGTATTTGTACCCACCCAGCTGTATAAATGTATAGTCTATTGGTGGAAAGAGATTAATTTTTTACATCCATGAATTTTCCACAAAAATTGTAAAATGTTAACGTTAAAGGCACAATATGTATTTTTTTGCCACTAGAGGGCGCGTATTCAAAACAAAGAAAGAAACAAAGGCGTAGTTTGATGACGCCGAAGAATACAATATTTCATATACATTTTTTTTTCATATTATTTAATTATAATTATTTAGCTTGAGTTCAGTTTTGCTTCAAAAGACATATCAGTGATTTTTTTACGGCTAAAATAACGGCTGCATTTAAATGAATTATTATTATTATTATTATTATTATTATTTCTGCAGTTTAGCGCCATCTGCT